GCTGCAGGGTGAGGTGTTGGATGTCTCTGTCCCTCCCTGGCTCAGGCTGCAGAACACAGCTCTGCTGGGCAGGGGGAAGAGGTTCCCAGCTGAGCTGGCCCCTGTCTGTGCCCACAGGAGCTGGCTGATCAGGAGACAGATCGATGGGTCTCTGAACAGAACTCCTGCTGGATTCTATGATCGGGTGTGGCAGATCCTGGAGAGAACTCCCAATGGCTTAATAGTGGCAGGGAAATTCCTACCACAGGTAAGAGATGCTCTGTTGCTTCCATTCTACCTATTACTGGGGCATTATTTTATCATTAATGTCTATTTTATGTTGTAATGTCTTAGGGTAACTTGCTCCTGCTGTAATGGAGGAAAAAAAGTATTTTCAATTTCTTTTCTGTTTAGAGTAAAATACAGTTAGAATAGAATGGAAGCCAATTCCTTCTGTTAAAGCACATTTATAAAATCCTCATTCTAGAAGAACTTTCAAGTCCTGGACTCTGAAATCTGCTCTCTTTTTGATCCTGCAGTGGTCATGTTTCTTAGTGTTGTTTATTCAACAAGCAAATAGGCTCTCCCTGGGGGGGTGGGTTTGATTTAATGCATTTGGGCTTTGAGTAAAAGTATGATTTGTCTTTCAGCAACCAACCTTGTCGGATATGACTATGTATGAAATGAATTTTTCCCTTCTGGTGGAAGATATGCTGCAAAACATCGACCAGCCACAATACAGGCAGATCATTGTAGAGGTCTGTGGCCAACAATTAATGATGTGTTGTCATGTACTTTAGTGTGTTACAGCTGAAAAGGTAAAAAAAGTAACCCAGGCTCAAATATTTGAATAAATAGCATTTTAAATACAAGCATTTGTTTCAGTGGTTTCTCCACAGGTTGTGTATGACTAAACAGGTTCTTGTTAACTTGTTCAGAATATTCCAAGGTCTTGTGTTCTCCTTTAGCAAACAATGGCAGTATCAATGCAATTAGGTCACAGGAAGTAAAAACTAACAGCAGTAATAGTTCCAAAGTAGCTTTTCTTCAAGGTCTCAGTGCCTCTAGTGCTTCTAAGTATTTGTCCACTGGAAAACCAAATCCCTCTCAATTCTGGCTAACACCTACTGGTCATGTTCTTTGCTGGAACATCCCAATTTTTGCCAAAGGATAACAAAATTGCCAAACCCAAGAGGACCAGTGTGGACTGCACTTCCTACTTGTGGGTATGACAGCAGGACACTCTTCATGGTCACCTTCCTCTTTCAGCTGGAAGGAATGTAAATGTTGATGAAATGAGACTTTACTGATGTCTCCTGACTTTGGTTTTTATAAACTTTGCCATAGTATGGTTTTACCACTTGTGATTGTGCCTCAAAACACCAACTGCTGATGTGCAGTGTCTGCTGCTTTTCCCCCTCCCCATTTGCTGAGCACCAAGTGTTTGTGCAGCCACACAATGAACAGAATAAAATGGAAAATAACCATGTTAATGCCAATCATTTACACAGTGCCCTTAACTTGGAGTCACCAGCAATTGGAACCTTTCATAACAGCATGTGTGTCCAGGGATTCTTTCATCAAAGCTGGAATTTTGTTAGCTGTGCCATTATTGAATGGTCTCCTGCTTGCAAGAGGCTTTTGCAATTACTAGCAGTGCTGTTATGGAACCTGAGTTTTAAAAAAAAAAAATCAAATTTCAAGCCTTACAATCTTTTTCTGCCTTCCAGTTGCTGATGGTTATTTCTGTTATTTTGGAGAGAAATCCTGAGCTAGAGTTCCAGGACAAAGTGGACTTGGACAAAGTGGTGCAAGAAGCATTTCATGACTTCCAGAAAGATCACAGCAGTCCAAAGGGAGCTGAGTATCAAGTGAGTAAAATATCGCTGTGTGTAGAATTCACCATTCTTACTGAAGTTCGTTATACATGTTAATTCTGTGCAGTTCAGAGTAAAAAGCAATTGATGGGAGTTCAGAGTGGAACAGAAATAAGAAATTAATATGCCCAAGTGCTGCCTAAGCCTGCAAAGGGCCTGTAAACAGAGATGAAAGAGGTGTACTTTATTGCTGAATTGTCAATTCAAAATGTTATGGTAAGGAAAACACTCAGTTACACAGCTCTGAAATGGGAGTCTGGTACAGCTGGAAGAGCTATTAAAGGGGAAAGGATTCATTAGGAGAGACACTAGAACAGAGTTAAAAATAACAAAATGAAAGAAAAAACTGAAGCTCAGCCAGGAACTGTGAACTTAGGATCTTTATGTACACAGATGCTAAGAAAAATTTAGTAGCCAAAGGACTCATTGGCAATACTAATATAAGGCCTTGAAACACAAAACTCTTCTTAGTTCCTGATTTTTGTGCTAAGGTTGCATCTATGACCTAGCAAACCTTTGGTCTCTAAGGGTTAAAATCCAAATAAATTAATAAATGTTTTCAGTATTTACTTCACTACAATTTTAGGGTTTAAGCTTTAGTGACCTCTATATATTCTCACTCTAAGTTTTGGTGCTTCAAAGCTTTGAAATTCTGTCATAATGCTAAGTTTATTGAACTGGTTAAAGGAGGAAATAGGAGTAAAGCAGTGGGACAAGTCCCTGTGCTACTGAGGATGATCCTTCTCATTCCATGTGTCATTTTATTGTCTATTCCAAGATACCTGTGCCAGCTCTGAAGAATTTCTTGATTCTGACATGCAGCAGCACTTCCTCTGGCTAAATTTAGCTCCTTTTAAAGATGAGGATGTGCTCCTTAATTCTTTCCAAAGTTTCAAGGTTCACTTTTTTGCCACTAATTTTTTATCATGAGATTTGAGAGCTGAACCAGATATCAACAACATTCCTTAGCATCATGTCACTTGGCACAATACCCTGGTTTGGAGAAGGACACAGTTTACCTGAAATGACAATTTTTTGGCCCCTGTTGGAGGGTAATGACTCTGTGGCCACAGAAAGTCACACCTCATCCACACAAATGGCTGTTAAGTGCAGCTCCACAGTGTCTTGAATGTGCTCCTGACTTCTGTCAGAGTCTGCAAGTCCCCAGTGGCTGTAAACAGAGAGAAATACTCCATGCATAACCCAGTTTTTCCTGGTGCTGCCCTGGCCTCTGTTGAAGTAATGGATTTTTTTCTCCTAGACCAGATGCCTTTTTGTCTCTTAGAAACCCCAGTTTACAGTTGAGAATAGTATCTTTAGGATTGTTGTTGGAAATTCCAGCTCCCTACATTAAAATTTTCTGGAATGTGACTCTCCCATATTGCCAGGTGTGTACCTGCTGGGAGTTAACTGCAGCCTCTTTAGGATTGTTCTTATGATCTTCTGTCTCAAAGTTTCCTAAAATCACAGCTAAAATTTTCTAATTTGTCTCAACTCTGATCTTCCATTACACTGCAAATACTTTGACCTTCATTAATTCCCTGTTAACATGCCCAAGGTATTTACTCCAGTAAATTCAAACACACCCTAAAACTACAGCAGTCTAATATTTTCACCAGCACAATCTCTGCCCTTGATTTAATAAAAGTAACTAATTTCCTGATTTCAAGTGTTGAACCTTTACTGGTGCAGTTGATACATAATGTGAGACTAAGCAGGTGTTTAATGTCATTGCCTGTGGAAACCAGGTGTTCAGTGAAGGACACCTCTTCTGCTGCTCTGATTAATGAATTGGTTCATGTGCTACCTGTGGTTTGGATCTTGGATGTTTTCCCTCTGACGGATCTTGGGGCAGTGCAGACCCACGGGGGCACCTGCCCAGCTGCAGGAGAGCAGTTCTCCTCTGGCAGCTGTGCCATTTCACAGATGTTCAGGTGTTTTCTGCACAGAACTGGCAAACTCTGTAAAGAAACAGACACATGTGTTGGCCACAGGCTCAGGGGTTTGTGGGAGAGCTCAGAAAATGGAGCAGCTTTAGGGTCTGAGAAACACCTAACACGTTTGGGATGTTGCTCGTTTCCCTGGCTGCTTCCCACAGTCAGCACTAATGGCAGCATCTTTTCCCTCCCCTGCAGAATGACATGACAGCCTTCTACAACACTAACCCACTTGGAAAAAGGGGAACATGCAGCTACTTGAGCAAGGTTGTGATCACTCTGCTGCTGGAAGGGAATGTGAAGCCATGCAATGAGGATCCTTGTACCATTAGCTAAGGCTTGAAGCACAACACAGCAATTGTTGCTTTAGGTAATTCTATGTATTTTTCATGCAGATCCTAAAATCCTGCTTGAAGAGTAGCCCTGGCTAGTAGCACAGACACATTGTCCTCTGCTGAAACAAGTGCCATTAAAGACACTAAGTGCCATCTGACTTTTCTGTCTCAACTATGCAGCATGAAACACTGAGCACATGAAGTCAGTCCTATGATACTGGATTAATTTGAATGGGAATGTATTTATGATCATAAATTTATGCATTTAATGTAGCTTCAAGAGAAATCAGAATGAGATTTTTTTTGTCTTTTTACCTCTATTTATTTATAATTACAGAAAAGTTTATTGTAAATTCTAAATGAAAGCCAGAAAGTACCATAATTACCCTGCAAACCAATCACTGTGGAAGTATAAAAATTGGATTATTTTCTTATTATTCTGCACACATATTGGAGGTGAAGGTTCAATGGGTGTTACTTATTTAAGGTGGTTTTTTATTTCAATTTACCATTTGGTAATTCATACATGAGTTTCATCCTAACAGAGCAGCTTTTTAATCTCCAGCAATAACTACCACTGCAGTTTCCCAGTCATTTAAACATCTGCTAACAAGATAAAAGTTTGTTTTAAAAAGGGCAAACTAGCTGTATTTAAAATTAATATCAATAAAGAAATACCTTTGTACTACATATGCTATTACTGCAGTGAAGAATTCAAGATTACACCTATTTATCTCCTAAATGTGTGAAAAACTCTATGCTATATGCTTTATTTTGCTGAAAATAATAAAAAGCAAATGCTTGTAAAAAAACTGCCAATAAAAATACTTTAAGTGACAGGCAAAGAGACTCCTGGTGACTTAATGGCAACATTTGACATATTCCTGGGGCCACCTTGAATGGATCTCTGAGGTTTAGCAGCACAAAATACACCAAAGCTTTAGAGCAGGTCCTCCAACATTTGATAATTAAATTACCAGTGACCAGTGCAGCTCAGCTGTGAGTCACTTGTTGCCACACTGATATCAAGGGCAGGTTCTTTATCTTAAAGGGCAAAACTAGTGGAGTCAGTTGGGGAGAATTCATTTGAACACACTTAGGCAGGGGTTAGTCCTGCAGAGTTGCTCATACAGTTTGCAAGAAAATCTACCTGCTGGACCAATGGCAGTTTTAAGACTGAAAATTATCCTTCTGTAAAAGTGTTTTTCAGCTACATTACAGCACTAATATCACTGGAAGACATATTTAATGAAAACAAAATAAATCAATACAGTCAGAGCATATACCTAGAAGAGACTTTGCTAGTTTGTAAGAGGAAAACAATAAATGTCCCAAAGGAAGTGGGAGTGGTGGGGCAGCCTGATGCTTAAAGCATAAATTAAGGAAATACTGCAATTAATTCCACTGAAGCCTGTATATCTCATCCCGAAAAATCAATCAAGGAAATGGCTTGATTGAATTTGTAGATAATTACTATCCACAAAACCCCTGCCAAACATATTCTCTTCTCCACAAGCATGACAGTCTTTTAAGCTAATGAGCTAAGCCTTGCAGCATGGGAAGAGAAAATTAAATAAGCAGGAAAGTCTATGCTCTGCCATAAACACAAAATGCAACTGTGTTGTAAAACACTGCTGAGAGCCCAAAGGGACCTGCCAAATTGCACACACTGCTCCTTTCACACTCAGTTATCACTCACAGGTTAGGTGAGTGAGCCTGGGGAGAAGGTAAGAAGCAAACCCAGCTGGGGTCATAGAATTATAGGATCAACCAGGCTGGAAAAGGCCTCCAAGATCCAACCCTACTGTGGTTACCAGACCATGGCACCAAGTGCCACATCCAGGGATGGTGACTCCACTGAGAGAACTTAAAGGATTTCCCCCGGTGTTGTGCTCTTGTGCTTTTGTGGGTGTTTGTTTTGTGGGAGTGGAATAAGTTGTATTCTTTGCCTGTGGAGCACTCTGACAGCAGGAACTATCTGGTATTTTTTCCACCTGAGCATGCTTTCCTTCTGCACATCAACAGGAGTTGGAACAAATAGAAATGTAGACACACCAGGTATATAGAATATCAAAGTCCACACGTGGTGGGTTTTTCCTGAATCAGAAAGACTCTCCTAAAAGGCTGCCAAGGGTTCCTTATTCAGTTGTTCTGTAACAGTACATGTTTCCAACAAGGGAAGTGAAACTACTAAACTTCCCCTCTTCACCTAAATACATACAGGATAATTGCTAATTTTTTTTCAGATCAGGTGAAAAAAAATGATCTCTTCTTACATAAAATCACAACCTTCTAAGACAAAAGAAATGCTACTTGGAAAAATAGTTCCTGCACCAGACAGTAAGGATGACTCTCACCTAAGCCTTGTCCCTGTGGGCAGGTAGAATGAAGCTTAGACATCCTTTCAGAATGCCACTAGCTAATGTTTCTAGTGCTGAAGTTAAGGCCAAACAAATCAGAAAAATCAGACATCATGCATAGGGAAATAAAAAAAGCAACGGAGGACATTCTTACTTAACTTTCACAGTAGTGAAACAATCCAAAGGAAAAGGCCTGGAGGCTCCTCAAGAAATCCACTCAAGTGGAAGTGCATAAAGAAAGAGAGGAGATCATGTTGGTGGTTTACATCTGTACAAGACCACAAGACTTAACACACCGTTCCGTTCTGGAACTCCATTCTGGTAGGAAACACAGCATTTACTAAATAATAACTCACAACAAAATAATTGAAAACACTCCCCAAAACAACTTTCTGCCATATCACTGAAGAATTATGTGTGTCTGTTCCTCTGGGTTGTGTTCCAGAAACTAAGACATACAATCTAATTCCTCTTTAACCAGCCTGGGAGTATTTATTCCAGTATTGATGCTGTTGCCCAAGGTGAATACAACAAGATCTTGCTTTGCCTACTGAGAGCTCCTGTACTAGAAGTGTCTCTGTAACAAGACTGTCACTCAGCCATGCCAGGAGACCTGAAATTACTGGGATTGCTCTGCCTGAGTCATCTGGCAGCACTTCACACTCTCCTAGGAGATGACTAATCTGACTCATGAGTAGCAAACCCCACAATTTTCTGTGTTCCAGTGACAGGCAACATGTGTTTAGTTCAGGATGCTACACACTTGAACTTGCATTTCCTGAAGGCAAATTGTGCTGCAAAATTGATAAGGAAACATTAACAATGTGCTTAGAGAAGATCATAGCACATTCTCTTAACCCACAGCGTTTTATGCATCCGTTCCATAATTGATGGGAAGTAATAAAGACAAACTAGAAAGAAAACATTAAGAGATTCTCATACACCTGGAAGGTGTCTAACATGGCTGGCAAGGATGTAAAAGCTTTGCAAGGAAGAAGAAACAAAACTGCCTTTAATATGCAAGAAAATCCTTAAAGTCTTCATGGCTTGTCACCAGACTGACCTACATGCAAAATGCTTTTCTTTGTGAACAAATGTCCTTCCCCACCATGTTGTTTTCTGTGCTGTACTAGGAACCTCAGGGGGTTCAATACAAGGGAAATGATTAAATACTTGCTGTGCTTTAGTCTTACCTACATCCTTCCCAAGGATGTAGAAGATCCAGAGACGAGATGGATAGAGAGAGCCAGGCAAGGGAACAGAAAAAGGGATGTTATCAGAGGCTGAGTGTGACTCCTGTGAGCTCTGCAAGCTCCAGGCACAGGGAAATCCGTTTCATAGAAACAACCAGGTTGGAAGAGACCAAGATCATCGAGTCCAACCCTACCGTAGTCACTAGCCCATGGCACTAAGTGCCACATCCAGTCTCAGCTTGAAAACCTCCAGGGATGGGGAATCCACCACCTCCTTGGGTGGTGGATTCACCACCAAAAACTGCTTCCTGGCCTCCTTGCTGTCTCAGAGCACACATATCATGACATGATGGTAGAAATATCAATGAGCATTCTCACCTCATCACCATTTGTGCTCTCACCACTATTCTCAGCCAGCAAAGCTGCACTGAAGGTCTTTGGCTGACAAAGGTCTAAACAGGTAACAGCAACATCTCAAATACAACACAGAAATCACAGAATCATAGAATCAGCCTGGTTGGAAGAGATCTCCAAGATGATCAAGTCCAACCCTACTGTGGTTACCAGACCATGGCACCAAGTGCCATATCCAGTCTCAGCTTGAAACCCTCCAGGGATGGTGAACCCACCTCCTCCCTGGGATCCTCTAGTGCTGCAGCCTGGAAGGTGACAAGGACTGTCCTCCACTCTTCATGCCATTCTACCTAATGACTGCTGTGCTTTTGGGCACAAATGGCCACCAGTGTGGTGCTTCCTTAAGCTTCCCAAACATAAGGGGTTTATTTTAGACAGAGCCTTCAGCCTTCTGCCTGTTCCCTTTGCTATCAGCAGTTCAGTTCCT